TGAAGTACCCCAAAAATTAATGAATGTTTTCAAAATCGCACGACTTTGAATAGGCCAGCATCAACAAGGGGCTATTTAGTTAAAAAAGCCTTAACGTATAGTATCGCTAGCGTTAACTGACGTCAGGCGGATAGACGACGGACTACAGTTTTGAAAAAGAACCACGTTTCGGTATCAGAGACCCAAAACGTGTTTTTCCGTTGAAATCTCAAAATTTCCGCAAACATTACATACTTTCTCTGTACTAGGCATATTACTCCATATTATTGATTTATTAGATGTGCATTTGAAAAAATCATCTGTTGACAGTTTCCATTCAATCGGAGCTTAATGTCGCAAACCAGTTGACTCACTAATGGTGATTTCAAAGCTCCCGATTGATGAAAACCGTACAACGGCTGAATTAATTCAAATGCACTTAAGTAATCCAAATCGCGCCGCGTCATAATAAAGACATTATTATTATTATTATTATTAATTATTTATATTATTATTGAATTATTATTATTATTATTATTATTATTATTCATTAATTATTATTATTATTAATTATTAAATTATTTAAACACGTATACCAGGGGTGTCCAAACTTGCAAGCCGTTCTCTCCTACTACCTAAATGACGCGCTTGAATACTCAGTATGTGGAATCCGGTGAGCCGGAGGCGAGGCCTGCGCGCCCTGCGCACTCGCCCCACGAAGCGGCAGCGCGCGCGCGCGCGCGGGCGCCGCGAAGCGGAGGGCTCTCGGCGCTCTCCGGCTCCTCTCGCCCCGCCGCCCCCGCGCCCCCGCGTCGACAGCTCGCACGCGCGCCGCCGCTTCCACCGCCGCCTCCAGCCGCCCGCGCAGCCGCCTCCAGTCCACGTAGTACCCCTGCGCCACGAACGGACCCCGCGCACGTCCGCCGTCAACCAGCCGCGGCTACCTCCGTAAGAAACCCCATTCACAACGCGCACAAAAAAACATAAGCACCGGCGTTATACCGTAAAAGTTAGGACTACGTCCATAAGCGAGGCTTGATTCACCAATGCGCTCGTCTATTAGCAATAAAACGTAAGCGTATAACTAAAAACTTGGCAAGCTGCCAAGCGTCTGTGCTTATGCGTAATATAAGAAAGAACCAAATCACAGAAAGTAACCTCAAAACGAGAATCCGAAATTGGAGCGAGAGTGGATAAGAAGAACGAACGCCATATGCGCTATGGTCACAGCCACTATCTAGAAATTGATTCTCGACATCCAACCAAATTAGTAAAACCAGAATGTCTCCAGCGAATAGAAACTCTTATTGTGCTTACGTTTATGTTAGACATTGTGAATACTGTCTATCTCTATGTTAATGTTATGCAATGCGTATTCATTTGTTACGCTTGCATTGGGAATGGGCCTTTACTCAGACCTACCGTTTCCAGTCCCACGGCGAAAAACAATGTAGACATAGCTTAGTCACCTATGTCGAATCCGCACGATTCTAGCCGCCGCTGGCTTCTCATCGGAGTTTCCCTGGTTCTCCGCATTAACAGCAGAATAATGCCGAGCAGACCCTATCAAACGAAGCCACGGACCGCGGCGCTATCTTTCCTACCTCTTCCTTGTCATATTTCACCCCCTTACGTACACACCACTTACATGCACTAACACCTAATAAAACATGAACGGGAAGCCCCAGTCGGAAAGCTTAGACTTTTGCCGCGTCAAGTGCGGTGCCCCCGCTTGCCGTCGTGTAGCGTCGGCGCAGGATAACCCTTAATCTCTTATACAAATCCACAGTTCCTACCCGCGACATGCACTACGCCAGCCACCACATGGCAGCAGGTTGACGCGCCCCGGAAACTAGTGTTTGATCACCGACTCAATCAAATAACCAGCAAGCATGAAGCAAAAGCATAGGCTGAGTTGCTCCGCCGCACCGATGTTGCTGATTCAAGCGCAGCACCAGACGTTACAAACCACTGACTACAACCACAGGCCAGGCCAGACGCAGGATGCCGCATGGTAAATAAGACAAGCTGCTGAGAAACATTTGAAAGTAGTATAAGGCACCATTCTTAACGAGGTGTCCAAACGAAAAATACGACGGTGAAGTGCATTTGACAATAAAATATGCCAAACGTTTACAAAAATCTTCAATATCTGTTTCACGAACTTGTAACAAGGTGCCCGATTTCCAGTATCAGGCAGGCATTTTAAAAATTCCCCGCCTAATATGTGCGACAGCCAAACAGGCTGCTTGGCAGTTGTATAGGCTGAGCAAGCCAGAAGCCCGTGTCCTCACCATGACTGCAAGTGGGTGACGACACTCGCTTTTCTACTCGAAGGGAGTGGCGTCAATCGGGCAGAGCGAAATGGCTCTTCTGATTTCACTTGAGAGTAATGTTTCGCGCCTATGATAGAGTCGGTGGGCTCAAAGTTACTTTAGGAGGGGCTTACTCAGGAGTTACTTTAGAGCGACGCTCTCGCTCTCTTTCTCTCCCCCCTCTTCCTCAGTCCCCTCCCCCTTGCCTCTCTCTGTCTCTCGCTTTAATTCCTTCCTCGCCTCCCTTTCTTCCCCTCTACATCTTCCCTTCTCTCTCTACCTGTCTCCCCTCCCTCTTCCCCGTTGAACGTATTCCTAAAATCCTTAAGTCGCACGTGCGCACCAAGAAAATTCCTTTTTTTTGCAATATGTTTATCTGTTAGTTTGTCGGGTTCAACATTTACATGTTGCGTTCCCCAAGCAATCCTTTTTCAAATAAACCTGACGGCACCCGAAATACTGCAAACAACCATGATGTTCCTGTTAAAATATCATGCATAATTCAGATCCAGGTAAAATGCATGAACCAAGTATTTGGCGAAATACACATTACAAAATGTGCAAAAATTAAAATTTATACATATATATAATGGCTGAAAAACAGAACGGTACAAGGACATTTCATAAATTCTTGAGAAAAAACTGTGTTATTTTAGGCTAGATTCAAAGCAATGTATTTGCGTGGTTTTAATGAGAATATGAATTGTCTACTTTTAATGATAAAAACAAAGCACCACGACTTAATTGAATTATTTTACGGTGGCGAGAATTGAACGACCTATTTTTACGTGTGCTGCAGAATCAGGGCCAGCTCTACCTTCTGACCACCAAATTCGCTAATCTCCTTTCATCCAGAGGTATTTCTTGACGACGAAACAGGAATTGAATTTAGCTCAGAGGCGGCTTTATCTAGGCTTGAGATCTTTTACATGCAAGTAAATCTACTCACAGGTACAGCCGGCGTTACTTCTCCTCGAAGTTATAGGGGCGTATGAAAGGAATTTTGTCCCTTTAAAAAAATCCACCGGTTCCGATTAGGGTTTGAGCCCCGCCCAATTTGGGTACAACTTTTCCGATACGCGAACGTTATTACATCGGTCTCTCCTCTATCATTGCCTAGACTTCAATAAACAGACATTCATAAAATGAGTCACACATCATCTCTTCTCTATCTCTATATGTGCCGAGAAGGCTTCTCTTGCTGACCTTGAGGAGGAGCCCCGCTGGTGGCGCAGGCGAGCGCGCGGCGGACGCGAAGAGCGGCGCGGCAGGGCGGCGCCACGAGCGCGTCCCCGACTCTCTCTATCTCTCTATCGCTTGCCCACCCAGCTCCCACCCGCCGGCGCAGCGCCCCACGCCTCGCCCTCCTCTCTCTTTCTTCTCTCTCTCTATCCTCTCTGCACGCAAGCCACACACCACACGCCCGGCGACACTCACGAAATTATCTCTATCTCTCCCCCGTTAATATCTCTATTCTATTCCTACTCTTCGGCTCGCGGGCTTCCCCAAACCAGGTATCCCCCATCGCCGGGCGAGCCGGCCGCCCGGATCTCTCTAATATCTCCCGGACGTGTCCTGTACCGCCATTATTCTATATATATAATTACAGATATATATGAGTATCTTATAACTATCTCATAATATATATATATTGCGCTCTGTGATCGATAGACGTTTGCTTAGGCGTCTCTTCCGCATATCGCCGGTGTTATTGTTAGAAACCACGCAAAATAGACAAATCGACTCTCTATATCTCTACTAAAATCCTCCTCAACACAGCCCGGTAATTCGACATTCTATTACGTAGAGCACTTAAATCCTGTCAACCGACGCCGTACTCGACATCTCTTAGGATCTCCGCTTCTCAAGACTGCAGCCATTCAGCGGCAATGTTGTCTTCCTCTGCAAACCCACCTCCGACAATCTATCTATATCTATATATCTTATTATTACCGTGTCTTATTGAATACAATATGCTAATCTCGAAAACCTTCTGCTGGAGGCCTAGATGCATGTTGAATCTTCTAGGCTATGGCTCCACAGAAAACTTGCTTTTATCTATCTCTCTCACGAAATCTCTACTATCTCTATCTCTATTCAAATCTATATATTCTGAGAAGTCACGCTGACTGTCTCTCCCGTCGGCTATATATCTATGCTCCTTTGGACCTTGGCATAGTATCTATCTATCTTATCACCAACTGAACATCTGATCGTTCTAACATCCATGATCAAAAATAAAACATCGACCCCATTCATCCGGTGTTTAAAAACTGGTACCAGAAAGTGTAAGTTCACTGCGGGAATTGGGTATTTAATTAATTGACAAGTAAACTGACAAAAACGAAGGATGTTTTAAAAAAAAAGTCGACCGCGTTAAAATGTCGTCTTTTTTTTTATTCATGCTAACGCGTCATCTGCAACGTTTTCCTTACGATTCGTTAAGTTTGTCACGCGTTCAATAGGATTTAAGGAAGTGCATGACCGGCCTTGGGTGCAAAAGCTCAGTACAATCAATATCTGATGTTGAAGACCTACATCACTATATATCTAATATCAGCCGGAGACCAGTTGGGAGCTTGGAGCTTGTCCGAGGGGGCTGCGCTCTGCTGTGTGGTGACCTCCTAGGAGGGATATTCCTGCAAAGCCACGTGTAGGTTTTCTATCTATATTTATCAGCATCGCGCGGAAACACTCCGCTATGCCTTCCCGGGTTAAAAAACGAGGAACCATCACTATCGGCTAAGGATTAGCAGATGCTGGAAGATGTACTCCCCGGAAACTGTCCATAAAAAAATAAATACTCATCCGCTGCGTGTTGCTGCGGGTTGCCGTAGCTGCGGCCCGGCTAGGCTGGTCTGTGTGTCAGGCTGGACTGGGACTGGCGTGGCGGCTGGCCTTGGGCTTGGACGGGGTGAGGGTTTGCTTGCGCCGGGGGCGGGGCCGTGGTCCGCGAGCCTCGCTCTGCAACGCCGAGTCGAAGATGAAGCAGAAGACGCCGGCGAGCTGGAGCAGGGGCGGGAAGCGGGAAGTGGGACGTTTTTATCCGAGATAAGCGCGGCACGGGGAGGGCCGCGACAGGGACGGTCCGCGGCTCAGCCTGACAAGGGCGGAGGTGCCGGGTCGGCGCTTCTACGGGCGGAGAGCCCGGCGGCGGCGGGGATAGGGATCTGAGGTGCTGGACGGGGACTGAGCCGGTAGCGATGCAGCTGACGGAGGTAGGGCGGGGATGGCGCAGAGTTGTGCGGTGGGACGGACGGGACGGGCGGGGTCAGGGGCAGGGGCAGGAAGAAGGGCAGGAAGCTGGTGCGGGGCGGATGCAGGGCAGGAGCTGTGGCGGGGCTGGTGTCTATCATGTGTCTCTTGGGGCAGCGAGGGGTTGGAACACGGAGGAGCGGGGGCGAGAGGCCCCGTGCGGGGGCGGGGTCTCCGGGTGTTGGGGCCGGAGGAGCGGAGGCGGGGGTGGGTGCCGGCGCGAGGGCAACGCTGCGCTGTGAGTGCGTAGACTGTCGCTGCCCGTCTCCTGCAGAAGATCCCTGCACAGCAGCGACAACGATCACACGTTTTCCTTTCAGCTCAAGCAAATTTCTACCTCACAAAAATTGGAGTTCTGAAAACAGTTCAAGTTACTCAAGTAGGTTTCTGAATAGTAAGTCAGATTTTAATCTGTTTTCAAGTGGAGCTTTAGCAGATATGATAAAAAAAATCAATTTTACCTACATTTTTTCTCAAAATCCTTTTTTGAACGCATTACCCCCTCTCCCCTGAACGCCCAGCTTTTACCAAGGCATACAAGGACCCGTGAAATTCTATCAGGACAGCTTCTGGAGCCTGTTGCATAAATATCGATTTTTTAATATTTGTTTTGACAATTTTGATAAGTTAATGTATTGACCAAATTAATAATATACAAGTGCATTTATTTAATTTCTGGCTTGTATTTAATGCCAAAACAGTTTTTATGACAAATGATGACCAATGACATGTATTAAATTACATTATACTAAGACTTAAAATTCTACAAATGTTTTCAAAGTCTCTTGTGAATGTTCAGTTTCTGGGAGGAGAGTCTTGCATTTTTTGTTCACAACCAAGAGCGCTGTAATAATTGGAATTATAACCAACATTTGTGATACATTTCATTATATTTCTGGTCAAAACTCACATTATAAACATTAGTAAGTACTACAATTAGAGCTGCCTTCATTGCACCATATCCCCGAGTCCTATTTTTCCGCACTCACCCGGATGTCAAGGGATCACAGCAAACTCTTTAAGTACGTGGATGTTAAAAACAACGCATAATTTTCAGGAATGCACATGGAATAAATACAAAGGACTAATGACGGTAACATGGAATTTTTCATGTTATATTATTGCTTAAATTAAATTCGTAAATGTTTTTTTTGTATACCAGCATTAAAAACAACCTTTTCATTTAAAAGAAATCGTTTATAAAAGCAGAATACAGCAGAAATGATTGCGTCATCACACATTCAACCAGTTGCAGCGAGAGAACCGTGAAGATGTAGCGGTGAACGGAACAGCCGACCACCGTTTTCTCGCACACATGTCAAATTCCGGAGACGTCACAAGAAAGTTGTTTCGTAGAATTAAGTTTCATTTTTCATATAAATTTATAATGCTGTTATACACAAAATAGCGCTTGCAACTCGTTTATAATGTTGCTATTATTATTATTATTATTCTATTTTTATTATTTTGCTAGTTTGTTGTTATAGTTATAATGTTGCTATTATTTTATTTTTATTATTATGCTATGATGTTGTTACAGTTATAATGTTGCTATTATGGCATTCGCAGAAACATAAACTCATGCAATAAAGCTTAACATTATGAAGTAATTGCGTGAAGCAGTGTTTGCGAAGCGCACCTGGGCGCCGCGCGGGGGACCCTCGCGCCGCACCTCCCGCGCCGGCTGCGCTCGCTGCTGCTCCAGCTGACTGCGGAGCAGCTCCTGCATCTGCCGCAGCTGCTCGCGGAGGTCGCTGATTTCTCCTTCTTTGGTCTCCAGCATTTCCTTCAAACGCTGCAAAACACACGTTGTCAGCGTTACCACTTCGTTTTTGTACAGATAATAGGGAAACCATTGGTTCGGTTTTGGATAAAAACGAAACACCACACAACATTCACACATCCTCGTAAGTAGAGTCGGGAAGTCTAGCAAGATGCCTGATTTTGTGACTTTTAACAATAGGATTAGCTTCTGATCCCTAGTTTGGGCATTTTGCCTTCTGCCTTTTTTATTATTATTTCCCCCTTTTTCCCTCCTGACACCAAGCTATCTATGAAGCTGAAGCATACCTGCAAGCCTGGAAAACATGGTCACGGTCGTGTATTGTCTTTATGTGCACGGAGATGGACCAGTGTAAGGTTGTATGACAATTGACAAGGCAAAGGAAGATGATACCAGAGAATATTTTTGATATTTATCACCGATGCGTACAGGCTTCTTCGTTCACGAGAAATGTAACTTTTTTAGTGGTGAATTAAAACTCAGGTAATATTTTAACAAAGACGTTTATTTTATTTCTTAATGATACACTAAAATACATGATTTATTAACAGATTGGTTGCACAGTCCTTGTGTTCTTCACTTGGTTATTTCCTTATACATGACTCACTTCTCTTGATTATTTATTTACACAGTTCACTTCTTCAGATTATTTACTTACAATCTTCACTTCTACACTATCGCACAGTCCGATGCACTGTCTACAGTCCTCTGCGCGCTGTTCTCCTACTGCACCGTTGTTCACCGCAAAGCACGCTTCACAGCTCAGCTTCTACTTCAGGTTGACTGCATACTGCCAGCGGCCGCCGGTAACGGCGAATTTATACCTGACCGGCGCCCGTCTCGACACAACCGGCACTTGCTCCACATTTCTACGTGACTCGCGACTAACCCGGAACCGTCCTGTTCGGAGGGCGCCGGGAGATGACGCAATCCGCGCAGCGAATTACGGCAGATGATACAATATTCGTTACACTATGTTTGTGTGTGACCTCGGATCCCTTTTGAGGTCAGAGAGGTGTGTATATGAATATCGGGCACCGTTGAGGAGATTATACGAAAATGCTAAAGCTAAGAGAGTGAGCGAGACAGCGAATTATGTCTTAAAGGAGGTGGTGTAGACCCCAGGTAGATATCTAGATATTACTGAAATCAATCACATCGTGTATGCAACTGGATCTCTGGCATCTCAAATACCTTTGCCAGTCAAAAACACCGATGGCCGGTTGGCAGAGTAACCAGCTTTGTATCCCTAGGTCGAACGAATTATGAAAGGAATAGCCGAGAAATATCACTCTCAGTTGAGAAACCTTCTAAATCAACGAATACCTATAAGTTCAACGACAAATACTGTATGTTGAACAAAAAATAACAAATTCAAAATGGTACAAGGCGGCGCCTCTAGCCGAATACAGTTTCTAACTAAAGGATTGGACTGAGAAAGAAATTAGAATCATGGATCGAAAACAAAACAGAAAACTGCTAACAATGCAGCATGTCGCCCACCGTCGAGCTGATGTACATAGACTTTATAAGTCACATAACGAAGGAGGAAAAGACTTCAGACAAATTGAAGCCTCCTGGCACAATGCAATAGTCGGGATGGGAAAGTACGTAGTCATCAAAATGATCCACTAATAAGGCAGGACATTAATATACAAGTGTAATAAAAAGCATTGCGAACAAGACTACGCAGAATAACACAGACACTGAACTTGTGATGCCACTTAATACGAAATGCAAGTCAAAAAAATAGTTGTAGAAATCATGGAGAGACAAACCACTCCATAGATAAGAGGTGGAGCTTCATCAGCACATCCTTTCTCGCATTACCGGAAACAGTTACATAATACTAAAATATTACTATTTCCTGATTTTTTAGTATTTTTTGTTTATTGGAAATTTAATATTTCTAACAGAATTATACAAAAAACTGCTTTAGAGAAAAACGTGATATTGGAAGTGGAACTCAATGTTTCTAACTATAAGAACAATAGGTATGTCTTATCCCTATATTGTACAGGAAATATTGAAACAGAGATAGAAATAATCCTTAGTCATAAAGCTGTCATAGCTAAAATTTACCTTTCAGTGCAGAATTAACAAATTAATTGATCTCTCTCTTGTAATTGTACAAAACTGTACCTGTATGTCATAATAAAAAATGTCCTGATTGTTTAACCTAATGATCCTGGTTTTTGCAACTAGATCTCTGGTAACCCTATGTTTCTTACTTCTAGGTTAAATTTATAATCTTTCTTTTTTCGTTTATAAGAATATTATTTTCATCATAAAATCATCCCGACCGCCAATAATGGGATGAATTCGAAGAATCTTGAATAAACTGTTGCCAGTTTGCGAAATGATAACGCGTCAAACGAAGTCATTGTCGCACGAGCGGTTGGAAGCACCGAAACAGTTACTTTTTACTGCCAACTCACCTTCAAAAACTGTTTCACATTCGAACGTTTGTTTTTGAAAAAAAAAAAATTATATATTATTATATTACAATAATATACATTAAATATGTTTACGATTATTATACTACGTTATTTATTATTTCCTTTTTTACATAAACAACAGTTATATGTGTGAACTTTGACTACTTGCTAATCAGAGAGCAATTAGTTATAACGCGGACTGAAACAAAGCGCGGAAAATTAGAATTTACAATTTCATTTTTTTACAAAATTTTGGAAATAAAGAGCATACGCCGAACATGGGACCAACACCACTACCGTTCCTTGCTACATACGTGGAAATAAAATACAGAAGAAAAATGAGCCGTTTCTGAAAAAATCGTCTTATGTTTCACGCCAAATTACATAAAACACTCATATTTTAGAAAAATTGAACATGGCCATATTTGAAGATGTTTTTGATGACACATTTCACTAAGGAATTAGTGGTGCTAAAACAGCACGTATTTCTAGCTCCTACTTTCACGCACAATTACGCGAAAAGTACTCAAATTTTCGAAACGAACATGAGATTTGAATCATTCTCTTACACGTTACAATTTCTTTTGACAATGTCCCAGGGGTTTCATGTAAAGTACCACCAAAATAACAATATCGGTTTCTAATTCAAGTCATCACCCAGATGGATTGGAGAAAATCGGCTGAAGGATTTGGCCGCTAGCGTAGTTCATAGACGGACAGTTGTTTTCCCGTCATTCAATTTTTCGGTATCAAGGACCCATGAAAATGGATTCTGAAAACACCATGTGTTCGAGGATTTTTCCCTCTAAATTTAGCAACTGTAATTACCCTCTTTTTTACCAGCGCGCGGTAATACTCGTAAGAGTTTTTCTGCTGAAAATTTGCCGTATTTTCTCACAGCATTACATAACTTTCTCTCTACACCGTAGCAAGAAAGTAAAACTTGTATTTCACAATTGTAGTTGTAGGAAAAAGCTGAAAACTTTAATTTTTTTTTTTGCAAATTTGAAAAAGATCAGGGATTTTACGAAATATAAGACCTTCACCATTCTCTTACAGTTTCTGAAATCAAAATTTAATCAAGTTTGTTGCATATTTTGAGAGAAAAATGTATAAAAAATATAAATTTGCCTAAATTTTAAGGAAAATTCTCCGAAAACTACTCCAATTTTCGCAAAATTGTGTATGACCTAGTTTCAAATTCTCTCTTTAAAGTACAGGTTACATTAAGGAAAACTATCTATTTTCAATATCTTAGTTGTATGAAGACGGCGAAAAAGTAAAATTTTTGCTATATTCGAATAATCGAGGATTTTTCGAAACCTCTCGTAGAAATATGTTCTATTTGCGTTATGGAACAGCAACCTTTTTGTTATTGTTGACACGTTAAGAACTGTTGTTCTGTTTACTACGTAATTGCATATTTGTGAACACTAATATTGTTAAAATATTTTATTTATTGCAGTATTTTTCGTTGTCGTTTAGTAGTGTGAAAAACAATTTGGTGAAGTCTGTTTGAAAAACAATTTGGTGTGGTTTTGTTGAGTAGCTTTTTTGGCGCTGCAGTGCTCTAGTACTAAGCATTATGCAATGACGCGTGTAAGGCGCTGCGCAACCTATCCGGCTTCAGCCAATGAGCTTCATGCAAAAGTTTGCGTCACAATATGGAATTAGCGCGAAATTACAAGGGAGCCACATACGCATCATCACCATACCAACCGCAACCACACCGCATACCAAATACGCATCATCACCATGTTACAAGATATTAAAACAGATGTATGAGGAATTTTTTGAGAATATTACATATTTTCTTTCAATTACACTTTCATCGTGTGTATCATTTGGTTGGTAGCAGTAGTATTCGTAGTATAGCGAGTTTTATTACACCCTAGGGTGTCCCTCGCATCCCAGCCTCCACATTTCTTAATCGGTGTAGTTTTCATTACTTAATCCTCTCTTCACCATTGCCTCATCCACCCCTCTCCCCATGTACGTCTAGGTCTGTCTCTTCGTCGATGGGTAGCTGGTTGCCATTTCCACAATATTTTCGGCCACCGCTCTTCGTTCATTCTTTGCACGTGCGTATACCACTTTGGTCTATTCACTTCTATCGTTTCAATTATATTAAAACTCACTTCCACTTTACGATTAATTTCTTCGTTCATAACATTAATTTGCCCTAATACACTCTTACTTAATTCATCTTTCCATATCAGTGGATGTAATTGTCTTATAGCCACTCAACCTTTGCAATTATCTTGTGTTCTACCTCCATTTGTGTTTATTTCTGAACCGAGATATATGAATTTTTGACAGGGTTTTACTTCCGAACCATCCAGTTTCAGACGTTTAGCACTTCTTCCTAAAACCATATACTCAGTCTCGTTAAGGTTAATTTCTAAACCCCATTCCGAGTACTCTTCATATAATTTTCGCAATATATGTAGAGCATCGTCTTCATCTTCAGCGAACACCACCTGATCAACTGCGAAATATAGAGAGAATAATATCTGCGAAATGTAGAAAGGATAATTTTTGGTGCGTGAGAGTTGAAAAGTATCACTTTCTGCCTCGTAGAAAATGTTTCTCACTGGCACTGCTCGTTTGCCATGCTGCACGGTGGCCAGCGCCTGGCCTGGCTGGAAGTGGCCGTGTTGCGGTCACGTGGTTCGTGACGTATCTGGGGCAGCGCAGAACATGCAACAATCAGTGCGCGGGAGCGGCTCATTGCATCAGAGCAGTAGCCAACGACGAAGCCCGAGGGTAGAGCGAAACGCTGAAACGCGTTGCCCGAGGGTCGAGCGAAAGCGCAGCGGGGGAAGGCGCTTATCGGGCGGGCAAGGTCGTCGGGGCGGTGTGATGGGGAGGGGGGAGGTAGAATGGGGAGGGGATGGCGCCGGCGGCAGAGCGAGAGGCGGCAGCAACGGGACCGGAGCAGGGCGCCACTTTCTCCCGCATCGGTAAGCAAAGCACGCCACACACGGCGACACACCGGGCAATGCAACTATGTAGCTACGTTCACGGCAAATGCACATGTGTTCCCTCAAGGAACCGTTTTACGTTTTCTGGCGCTCATCACATCCTTCCTCGACCTCACGAAGCCGACGGCGTACAGTATGTTGAAGACAGGCAGCGTTTTCATTCACTACTCAAGAATTCTTCCCTGTAAGTCAAGGGACTCCCGCGAGACCACCTCGGATTTTGGCGAAATTTTGAATACCGAGTCCCACATGCTTAGAAGAATCTTCTGTGAAGTTGTAGCAGCATATGTGAAATAGTTTTCACGTAGGATAATCTGTTTGGTATCGTTTGTTGCACTAAGAACATCCGATTTTCACAACTTTCGGAAACTGTATTTCCTTCCTCATTACTGCTAAACTAATTAAACGTAGCTTGCTTGTACACATTTTTTCGCTCTCTCTATTCAATAGAAATAATATCAATTTCACCTTACATGTGCAATACATAGTGCAGCAAAGCCGCCGAAAACTAGAGGTGCTACAACAGCACGAACTTACTCGAATTATTTCAGGATTTGCAATTATCGAAATTTCAAAGAGTTCAAAGAGAATGAAACTCGTGCGTTTCTTTTAACTGTCCCTTCTTTCTGTAGAAGACGTTTGAAGAAAATAATTAAAGAAGTTTTTGGGACAAAAGATTTAGAGATTTCATAACTTTTAGACACAAATCAAATTATGCGAAATCTAGTAGATTTTTTTTTTCAAAAAATTGGGCAAGGCCTTCCTTAAGAGATGATTGTTTACAACAAACTTGGTCTAAGGCAAAAGTCACTATCTTCAATTTTGTAGGTTTGATTTGTTACCTGTTTGCAATTTTCGAAAGCAGTACGTGTTCGACGAAAATGGGATTATCATCATATTTTTTCCCGCTCTGTGACACAGGAGGGGAAAAATTAAAGAAAAAAATTGGTGCAGTGTTTGGGGAAAAAATTGTTTTAAAAAAGTAACGTGCTACAAAAAGTCACAGCCTTTACTTCACAATTTTCTAATTTCTTTTGGTTTGGGCTAGCTCTTTGGTCTTGTCCCATCCTTTTCCCAGCTGCCACCTATTTCCTTGTACATTGCTTGTACACTTGCCTGCTACACATTTTTTTTAAAATTTTCTCATTGTTTCGTTTTTTTAATAGATCTGATATATTACTTAATAAGTATTAAAGAAGAGTAAAACTTCGTCCTTCATGGCAATTTTTGTTGAGTTGTGTGGAGTTCTTTTTAAGAAAATGACTTTAATACATCAATGTAAATGGGAAATTTGAAGCTCTTGTTCACAGAAAATAATTTTGTTTTCGAAAAAAAGTTAATTTGAAGTCATTTTGAGTACTTCAACTCCCAAATGCAAAAATTTCTACAAATCGCTGAAGATTTGTGTATTAACGGAGTGAAAGGTATTTCAAAACAATTACAATTGTGTAATTAAAAAAAAAAAGAATTCAGCAAAATGAATTTCATGTCGTATTAAATCGTGCAAATAGCACTATCCGTTGCAAAAGTTTGAAGAAAAATGTATAAAATATGAAACCGTTTTTGAGAAAATGGCGTTTAAACATTTCTGAAAACGCGAAATGTTCAGCTCATTTTCAAAGGAGATATAGTATTTTTTTCTAGAAACTTTATAAGAAATAATTTGAAGCAATGTGATTTTAAAAGCAATAATGTGAACTAATTGCCGATACTGTAAATATTATCGACGTAAAGAGACAAGTCAAAAAAAGTTCATTTTCTTAAATCTTGAAAACAACGAAAGAATAGAACAATACGGCGTTTATGTCATCTTATGCAGTATATTTAGCAAAATCCTTACCAAAGTGTCAAGAAAAAATTTGGAACCGTTTTCGTGAAAAAGTTTTTGTTGTTAATATAATTTTTTTAAATTGTGTATAATTTTAATAAAAGAAGAAAAAATGTACTTGAAAAATCTTTATTTTCAAATTTGTAATAGTAGGAATTAGCAGAATGGAATTCCCACTTTTGAAATTTTCGGAAATTCTGAGTTAACAGTGAAAAAGAAACCCTTGTCACATCTGTAAGTACATTCAACTTTTACATTTCTTACAAGAAAATTAAAGAAAAATTTCGAGCCATCTTCAAGAAAGATATTGGAAATATCCCAGGGGCTTCATGTAAAGTACCCCAAAATTTTAAAGAATGTTTTTCAAAATCGCAGCGCTTCGAGTCGAGTCAAATAAGCCAGAGAATATCCAATTTGGAAAAAAATCTACATAGTATTGTTTAGGAGCTAGTAGTGTGCGCAGACGGCTGGCCGATAAACACACGGACAGACGAACAGAGGCACGAACAGGCGAGCGGACAGACAGACGGCCGGCCGGGCAGGTGGACAAACAGACAGGAGACGGAGAGACAGACGGGCAGTCGGACGGACAGATGGATGAACAAGCAGACAGACGGACAGAGAAGGAGGAACGGATCTTTCTGGCAATATATTGCCCCTCCTTGCTCTTGCTAGTGCAAAGATGACCGCAAGAAGCAGAAACAAATTGCTGAAAGATATTGCGGAAACGTATTGCTAATATAAGGCCAGCATTACGAGCACATGCAACTTCCCCTGACTGCTCACATTTCCCCTACAAGTCCACAAAAGGGTGCAGCAAGCGCAAGCTGAAGCGGCGTGAGGCGGGGAATAGTGGCTGCACACCAAAATAAGTTTGCCAGATTTGTTCTATCAAACAATCTGAGATTTGACTTATGTATATATTTTTTACTATTTCATGTTTATTTTATTTTCAAATTCTGCATTGTATCAACATTTTTTCCAAGTAGGCAGGAGAATGTTTGAAAGGTAAATTCTTCTCTTCTTTTCGTTTTGTTTTTGTGTCTATAAATCATTTGGTTATGTATTGTACTTAGGAGTAATGTGAAATAAATTAAGAAGCCTCGCTTACGGATGGAAAGCGCTTTTAACAGAAAGAATCTTGATCTGTTAAACCTCTTAACCTGCAATGCTATTAAATCACTTTTAAGTAAACATGATTACAAAATCAAGATACTTTCGATTCAAAATGTTTAATTTTATTCTCAGTTGAGAAATTGTGATCTGACTGATATATTATTTCATTTTAATGGATCATTTCTTTGCTTTAAAGAGAAAATGGAAATTACGTGGCTAAATTTGAGACAATAACTGTCAAGATACGTCCCCTAAAGACCGTCACGGACCAGGTGTCCAGTGATGCCATTCCGGGACAATTAGCACAATCCTAACTTTTAAATCTCGCGCCAATTTCTCTGAACGCAGTGCCCGCGTGATGTAGTATGCTCGTCTTAGAAGGTGCACCTTCCCCCATGTCTTTATTTGTATGCCATTATATGTTAAAAATTTCACCACATGTTCCAAATATAACAAATTGTGAAATAAAAATTATTATAAAAAAGGATGCTTGTTCCCTTGCCTGCTACCTTGTCATGCCTGGTTTAGAAGCTAGAGTTTAGCAAAGATGGACGGACTGACTCACATTTTACCGTCAATCGATTTTTCGGTACGAAGGTGGATTCTGAGACACCACGTTTTAGAGGGAGTAATTTAGTATACAGGGAGTCACGCCAACTACGGGTTACTCTGAATCGACAATCCGTTTTGTCCACCTTGATACCGAAAAATCCATTGACGGCAAAACGTGTCTGTCCGTCCGTTCACTTTTGCAGTATTTGAATAATTAGGGATTTCAACGAACATGGGCGAATATTTCAACGAACCCGCATCATTTTCTAAAGTATTTTACACTATTCGAGGACAAAGTTTGATAAAACCATTTGGTGAAATTTTTGAGAAAATATTGAGCCTTTATACAAAGTATCCACAAAAACTAAAATATCCGCTTGAAACTCCCAAAGCCTCCTGTTTGGTCAGATCGATTGAGGATTATCAATTTTGGAGAAATCGGCTGAATGGCTTAGACGTTAGCGTTGACCATCGATGAACAAACGTTTTGCTAACAATCGCGTTTTGCTGCAACAACGTTTTGCTAAAGTTATTTTGATGTAATAATCAATACTTTATCCGAACGTTGACAATTTCCTTCCTGAAAGTAATGCAATTGTTGATCAAAGAGATTTGTGAATGTCTTTTTTTTGGAAAGAATTAATAATGTAGTGGCATTTGTATTTCTAATATAGGTAGTCCCTTTGTTCTAATTTACTTACAAAATATGTATATAATACGTAAGTATATTATAATACATGTACAAGTAATAAACGTTTTATTTAAAAGTTGAAAATTTCCTTAGAATGAAAGTAAACCATGAGTTGGTCATATTGATGTATGTCTTTTATTTGGGGAGTTTTAATAATATATTAAAAATGTATTTTCAGCATAGTTTTTGTTTTTGCTCTCGTGTACTTACATAATACGTATTTTGGAAGTACATCATCTACGTACTTACAACGCTGAAAATGTCCTTACACTGAAAGTAATCCATGTGTTGAGCCCAGCGACGGGGGTGTCTTGTTTACAAGAGCGCCGGAACTTCATTCAAGGCATGCGTCAACAGGGAAAATGCACCGAATTTCGTTTTAAAATTGTTGCACTGTTTACATCACATTTTATAATCAAATTTTCCTGCTATTTTAATACTCGGCGTAGTCAATGAATATTGAATAATTCTAAAACCCGTTTCTCCACACGAACTTTCTTGGACACGACTGACTTCGCGTGAAACAACAAATACGATTTGGCGGAAGTAACATCATTGTTGCTCAGTCAGTGCCTTTCAGCCAATGTCCCTTTCTCGCAATAAAGGGAAGTAATTCCTTTGTGACTTGAAAATTTTATTTTTTACTGATACGTTATTGCCTTTAATACGGTACTCGATATACTACAGTGCATAAGTTTCCTGGATCGAGAGGATTGTGCTTACGAGGGAAATATGAAAACAGTTGAATACTACGTTTTCTTATGAAGGGAATAATGAAAGAAAGTATGAAAAGAGTCAAGTTAATATAAGTCAATTAGTAAATAAGTGAATCTGAATTATTGAAAGTAGGTGCAATATAAAAATAGTGTATGTTCCACGGGTGTTAACTGGTTCTAATAACCTCGAGCGGCAAAATACTCTCGGTCTTTTTGCAGCCGCTCGAACATTATTGGTCGAATAATACTGTCTACTTGGTAGCTAGGGGTGAGGTAGAGCAATGTTGCCGCTCTCTCGGGCTGCAGACTTGTGGCCGTGTGGTCTTTCTTCCATCAGATCACAACAACAGCAGTGATAAGTAAGTAGTAAATAAGAAACAAATTGCAACGAGAG